ATCACTGAAAAGTCGCCGTATTTCTGTCGGATATTGCTAAAAAATTGAAGTCGTTCTATTCCCTGCCTACAAAACGTGTTGAGCTCCTTTGGATGCTTCGCCCTTTTTATCGGTTTTTGCAGGTCAACGATGATCAACAAAATTTGCAGTTTTTGACAGAAAAGATGTACAAAAAATATATTTTGATGACAAACTGAAAATTGATTTCCATAAACTAATTAATGGCATAAAAATATGTCACATCAAGTAAGTGACTGCATTAATATCTCCCCCATTCAATGTCAGCCTGAGGCTGCAGTTTTCCCCCATTCTCCATCCTAAGCTGTTCCAGCTCTGTCAGGCTGAAGAGCCTGTTTGAAGTAGATGCACCAATTCTCTATCGGATTGAAGTCTGGGCTTTGACTAGACCACCAAAGAACATCCGCCTTGTTGCCTTGAAACCATGTCTGTGTGGCTGCAGCTGGACGCTCCGGGTCATTGTCTTGCTGGAAAATAAATGTTAACTCAGACTGATCCAGTCAGATTTACAATTGTGGGCCACATTTCCTCCCATGGATTTAGTTGAACTCCAGAAGAAATTTGAGTTTTGTTTTGTTTTTTGGATCCATCCCCTGACTTGTACTTTTCTAAAACATTTTCTCTGATTTGCTTGGGATGTCCTTTTGTCCTTTTGCTGCAACAGTAGCCAGAAATACCGATTGACCAAGGCAGAAGGGCTCAGTGGTAGAGCAGACGTACTGTATGAAAAGGCTTCAGTCCTCAGTGCAGTTGTCCTGGGTTTGATTCCCAAGATGTTTGCTCATTACCTTGCTTAATGACCATGCTGCCACTGTGATTTACAGTCCAAACAGAATCTATGGCATATTGTCAAAACAAAGTTAAAGAACAAGAGCGCTGGCAGCTGAAGGCTGCTGATAAAGCAACTTGTGTTTCCTTAAAACCTCAGCAGAGGCACAGGCTGATTTCCTCCATGCCACTCTGCATTGATGCAGTAATTCATGTAAAAGGAGCCTTGACTAGTGGCCGGCTGAATACTGACGATACATATACATCATTTTCAGTAGGTTGATGTTTTTCATCGGTCTTGTGTGCAAATTCTAATGGAGTCTCCATACTGCGACTTTGTGGCGGAAGAGATTAATTGGATTCATAGTGAACCAATTTAGTATTGGATTAATTGTTAACTGGAGTACACAGACTCAAAAACAGGCCATTTGCTGAAACAACGACATATTCAGAACAGCAATTAAAGCAAAACAGTACAAGTTGATTTAAGATTGGTTAATTGATAAATTAATCAGCAGATTATCCCTAGACTGTGTTCATCTGGAGTCCAGCGGAAAGGGCTGAATGTTGATCTTAGAAATTTTGGGGGTTTGCATCTACAAGTTTTTTTACCTGTAGATGCATTCTTCGCCACAAATGAGCAAGTGTTCACTAAAGGACTGCTAATTAATATGTTGCATTTTAGGCAATAAAATGTATATTTTGTGTCTTTTTAAAGCATTTATTTTAAGTGGTTCAATGAAAAATCTGCTAAATCTGCCAACTTTTTAAACAGAATGATCGACAGGTTAACCAATAACTAAAATAATCAGCAGCCGCAACCCTAATGTGACTTTCGCTTTATAAACTGAGTCACTGAAAACGGATTGCACTCGATTATGTTCCAATCAACGCGGCTGCACACATTTTGTTTTCCGCAAGCGCGCCTCGGAAAGCGATTGCTCCGGAGCCGAGGGCCCACGTTGTTTTCCATCGACGCTTATTCGGGCTGCTCCAGTGGTGGTCCACTATGCAGCATCCTGCACCAACTGGAAAGCTCGAGTTCGTGTTGCAGATCCGTCAGCCGGCTGTCACGGCTCACAATGGAGTGACAGAGACGTCCCCATTACCAAGGACATCTCAGTTTTGTTCCAAGCACACAAAACATCTCTTTCAAATCCATCTCGAGCGGCACAAAGGAGAGAACTCTGAGCCGAACCCTGGTGAATATCTTTGCTGCGCCCACCGTAAGATAAATAATGTAGCCTCTTGCACAACTCGTCTTTCATCTGTGCTTTGAATCTAAATGGAGGGCAAGTCCAGCACGACGCCGAGCCAGAGACGGCAGACCGAGCCTATTACTAATTATGTGCTCACTGGTCATTTAAGGAGGGTGAGTTGTAGTCTGGCTGGTATTGAGTGAGAGCAGAGAGAAGATTTGTATGTGCCATTAAGAGGACAGTACGTCCACTAACTCAGTGTCACCCACATAATAGGAGCACACAGGAGGAAGCCGGTGAGACAGCGAACACCTTGAATGATGGCAGTAATATTTAAAAATCACACAGACTTCCTGCAGAACCGAGAGAGAGAGACGCGGAGCTGCGTCAATGCAGGTGTGAAGCCAGGGGCTGCGGGGAGGGGATAAGAGAAGGTGGAGGGATTTTGGTATTCAGCCCCCGAAAAACAAACAAACCAAAAAAAAAGAAGCCAAAACCCTGTCACGTTCGGGATATTTTTGCCGTGCGGACACTTGTTCACGCTCTCGCCACGCAGCGCTGAGCACCGTGTGGGGATAAATGCACACAACTGCTGGAGATTTGTTTTGCATGTTTGATTTGTGATGTGGGGGACTTTGAGATGAGCGCGTTATTTCAACAGGACCTCGTTTCTGTGTCATCAGCAGCAGCAGGAGTGAGATGGAGTGGGTAGGGGGATGGAAGAAGTGGAGGGGGGTGGAGGGGCTGCGCTCAGTTCTGCAGCAGTGAGTGAAAAGGCAGCCAGTAGCGAATGCTTCCAACAACTGCAATAGTCTGATTGTGATTTCTGGTCAACTTGGTGAAAAAAAAAAAAGCAACTGGTGATTTTTTTTTTTTTCCTAGTAGCATCTTGGGAAAGATATCTCACTCACGCAGTGAATGATAAGGATAATAGGCCAAAATAGCTGCGATATTATTAATATCATTTCAGGACCGAGGATCCGAGCACTTGAGCGCTCACATCAATACAAATTAACGTGATGTAATCGTCTTAACGGTGTTTAATTATTTTATGCTACATCAGCACACAGCAGCCGCTGACATTGTGCATGGGCATGAAATTAGCATTCAAATATTTACTGTACCTCGCTGAAAAGGAAAATGAGCTGAGAGAGGATGAATGAGAGGCAGAGAGCAGAGGAGGAGGGGAGAGGAGAGCGGCGTCCTCTGAGTGCACTTTATCACCAACAAGTTTGCATTCGGTTTAATCCCTGCTGCTCTATAGATCTGTAGGAATTCTGGGGTGATTTTTTTTTTTCCTGTCTTCGTCAGCGAGGTTACAAGGGTCTCCATTCTTGGTTTCACGAGACCTACTTTTTTATTATCATCATTATCGTCTTTTTCACAGGGACCCTGAACCGTTGCTGTGAGCTTTACAAGCGATCCACAGAAGACCCTTGAAAGCGGGCAGGGACGGCGCTTGACCTTCAGCGCGATGATGGGTTCGGCCTCATTGACGGTGTGCAGCAGATCCGCCAGCAGCACCGTGATTGGCCGGGAACAGCTCAAGGACTTTTTAATATGTCCCAGTGCGCACCTGCGGCAGCATATCCAGTCAGTAAAGGTGCATTCAGAAGTTTTTTTTTGTTTGTTTTTCTGGGGCATCTTAATAATCTTGAAGTTTTTACGTTACTTTAATGAACGACTATTTCACCAGGAAGATCAAGAGTAACTTTCCTCCGAGGCTTTCGCCCGGTTGTCCTCCCACTGACCCAACGGGGAAAGAAGTCAAACTCAGTTTGTGGCATTATCGTACGGCTCTTGGCTAAATGTAGCGTTCCAGTTGTTGATGACTTTGTATTCTCTGACATAAAGCACTTTGAAACGCCTTGTTGCTGAAATGTGCTACACAAATAACCTTGATTGATTGATAATGGTTAAATAAGCACTGGCAGAGTCTCAATACAGGTGACATGGCTCTCTGCCCGGGGAGTCACGGCCTAGAGGGTATTTAAATTGATTGTTTTTCTGTTACTTATTTGCCCTCCTCAGTCATTGTTGAACCCCTCGGTGTGTTCAAATAATCCCATACACCCAAGCCGTCTGGTAAAACTGGATAGAAATTGAAAGCAAAATGCGAAACATGCTGTAATTGCTTTCATATACAACAGGAAAGTAACAAATATTTCAAAGGATAGAATAACATAGCTGATCAGTACAACTGTAAATAGGCTCTCAAAAAAAATTAACATAAAACTATATTGTTTAACTTTCATTATGTACACTAAGGCAAAACCTTTTTTGTTCTGCAGAATATCCTACCTTTTGTCATTTTTTTTGTAGAGAAACAAACTTATTCTGGTTGTTTAACAGAGGCTGCTTGACAAACATCCCGAAGTTGTCAAAACGGTTCACTTTGTCACATTAAAATATCAGATCTATTGATCTTTTAAGTTGAACTGCAGCATCCTTCGCTTAGCCAGCTGGAGAGGCAGTGTGCAGCAACATGTCGCGAGTGGATTTCACTAAAAGCTTCGTGGATTTCACTAAAAGCTTCGTGGATTTCACTAAAAGCTTTGTGGAGACGAGCAAATATCCTGTCTGGCATCCTTTTGATGATGCGTTACACTGCAGGAACACGATGGTTGGCGAAAGCTTTGAAATCCTTGGTGACGATCACAGTCAGGATAAACTTGGACTGGATTTGTTACACACTGATTGGACTGTAATTTGCAAAACCTCTTTATGGGGGAAAGAAAAAATAGATTCTTAAAATGTTAAAATACACATCTATCTTTCAATGCAATCACATATAAATATGCATAGTTCATATCAGATCAATGCTTTTGGTTATTAATGTTTCTAAAAAGTATCCCCTCCTTCTGCCTTCCAAATAGCTTTCAAGCAAGAATCACCACTTGCACATACATGTATGCAACATCATTTCACCGAAGCATCCTGCAAAGCTTGGGTGGGGGAGGGAGGCAGAGAGGGAGGGAAGGGGGGCTTTCAGAAACTTGCGTGATATCCACCTACCCCAGTGTTGTCATGGTGACGATGGTGTACCAAAAGGCTGCGGGGATGCTGGTGAACTTGGTTGCTGTGGAGCCTTTCTCTGCATAAAACATGACCGTGGCGAATATAATGATGGCCATGGTGAGGGAGAAGAGGAGGAAGCCCAGCTCGGAGGCGCAGCTCTTCAGGGTGTAGCCCAGGATGCGCAGCCCCGCCGAGTGCCGGGAAAACTTGAAAATCCGAAAGACGCGGAAGACCCTCAGCGTGACGAACGCCCCGCTCACCTGGTCGTTGTCGGTCATGACCAGGCCGATGTAGTAGGGCATGATCGCCACCACGTCGATGACGCTCATCACGCTCTTCATGAACTTGCAGCGGCTCGGGGCGGCGATCAGGCGAAGCAGGTACTCGACCGTGAATATCATGACGCACGCCGTGTCCAAACAGAAGAAGGCGAGCGCGTAGCGCTCCCCGCAGGACAATTCCTTGGACCTGTTGGGCAGAGTCCCGCACGGCACCGTCTCCACCACGTTGGCCATCACCGAGATGGCGATGAAGAAGCCCGTCACGTAGTAGAACACCAGCGCCAGGGTGCTGGTGTGCGGGTTTTCAAAAGCCCGCCACAGATACTCCCGGTACGTCAGATTCACCGGCGCGACTTCGTTGCTCATGTCCATCTCCTCGTCGTCCTGGAGCCGCTCCGCGTTCTCGCGCCTCCGGTCCTTGTACTCCTCGTAGCAGCAGTCCCCGATGATCTCGGGGATGATGCCGAAGAAGGCGAGCTCCTCGTCGTACGCCGAGATGCACTCCTGGCGCGGGTAGTGCAGCTTGCCCGTGCGGTAGAAATTGAGGATGTGCCTGAAGATGTCGGGGTCGCGGTCGAAGAAGTACTCGCTGGTCTCCTCGTGGAAGAAGAAGTCCCTCTCGGTGCTCCCCAGCAGCGTGTCCGGGTACCGCTCCAGCGTGGTCCGCCACGTCTGGAACTTGGTGCCGCTCACGTTGAGGATGATGAGTCCGTCCTGGGCTTTCCTCTTGTCCTGGGGAGGGATGGGCATCGGGGTGCTCGCCACGGGCATCCACCCGATGGCCGCCGCTCTGGCGAAGGGAAGCCATGCCGCTACACCTGCTGCCATGCTGACCTGTAGTGGGTTTTTTGTTGTTGTTGGTTTTTTTTTTTAAACGACCCTTCTCCGCTTGTCACAGTGCTACGGGCTCAGAGATAGATTGCATCTGCAGGAGGAAGAGCAGATAGAGAGAGACGCTCAACGAAATAGAATATTTTAACATATGTATATAATAGAAAACAACCACTTATTGAGATTCAACCGAACCTATCCGGTCTTCTCTAACTGTTGTGTTAAGAAAGAAAGCCCACTCTTTGCGGCAGAATATCAATTAGATTCCCAAATCTTCATCCAACAATAAGCGGGATTTTTTTTTTATTCCTCTTTGTCTCCCTTTCGGAAACGAATCCAAGAAAAACTAAAGGACCCACCACAGAGAAGCTCCATCATTAATCTGCGTCCGCGACGAAGTCAATGAAACACTAATCCTCGGAAGAGAACATTTGCAATCCCGCCAGCCATCAATTACCCACTGCAGCCCAGGCGACTGAAGACAAGAGGAGGGGGCAAAAAGAAGAAGAGAAAGGGAGAACTGCTGTAACGGCGCATCAACAAGTTAAACAATTGAAGCGGCGGACTCCGAGCAGAGCGTGGTCGTTCGTCCCTCCTTCGCCGATCCGCAGGGCTCCTGTGCAAAGGTTTTCTCCCCTCTCGCCGCAGCTGCTCCCCAGCAAACTCATGTTCCCTTTTTTTTTTCGCTCGTCGACTGCAAGACCACCTTCCTACCCTTCCTCGCCTCCCCCCTTTTCTCAGCACAGAGCAGTGGAGAGATGAGAGGAAAATCGGATGCAGAGAGAAAAAGAGAGAGAGAGGGAGAGAGAGAGACAGAGAGGGAGGAGCGGTCCTTCCTGCACCCTGAAATTCCTCTGCTTGCCTTGCTTCAGCGTGTGCATGGGGAGCTGCTCAATGCGTAACTTTGGTCCAAGTAGGCGGTGTATCTCCTGAAGCTCGACTTAAGATTTGTGTGTGGAGTTGGAATTTTTTCCCCCAAGATGGATCAACAGCGTCTGCAGTTTACCTGAGATATCATGAAGTCCAGGCGAATGGAACAAGTCCCTTTAAGTTTTCTGCTTATTTTGTTTTGCGCCTCGTATTTAAATCTGACCCTGACGAGATGTTATTGTTTTTTTCTTATTATTGGAATATAACGTGTTTCCCACATTATTATTATGCAGATTGAAAAAGCAGAAATATATGATTGATGAATATATAAAAAGGAAATATGACTATGAACAACTTTCTGGACTTCTACACCTTTTCGTGTCTAATGCCACGTCTCTCCACAAATCTGTCAGTCCTCCATCCATCCATCCATCCATCCATCCATCCATCCATCCATCCATCCATCCATCCATCCATCCATCCATCCATCCATCCATCCACAGTTTTTTCTGCCATTGGGCTGGACTGGAGTAATTTTCACAAAATAGAAGAATTCCAATAAAAACACTTTATAAAATGCAATAAAAACACTGACCTAAACCTGTTTGAAACCACCCTGATTTCATAATTGTCGCTATGCGCTGATGTTTTGAAAATGTTAAAGTCACGGTTGACAGGTTGTTCTCGTCTCCTGCGGATTCCTAATCCGCTTCCAGAGAAAAATGGCTTATGCGACAGCGTGAGAAACATGTGAACAAGAGATCTGAGAGTCCTGACGCATGTGGCGTTCTGTTATCAGACGGTAGGTTAGATAACATTGACCATATCTTCACTTTATTAAAAAACTAAATGTGTGTCGGTCTATGTTGGACCGCTGTGAGAATTAGCAGCAAAGATGTGCTTATAATGTGGTTTAGAGGATTGAATATTACAAGAGGCAGAGGTCATCAAATTCCTTTGCTTTTGGAAGGTCGACTGAAGGTCAGATGAAGGACAGGTGACACGAGGTGAGGTCACGGGGTGATCAGGGTAAATAAAGAGTCAACATTATCGTCCCAGCCGACCACTGACGATGAAAATTCACGGGACAAACTTCTGTATTTACACCTTAAAAACGATCTGAAAGGAAGTGAGGAAAAACTACGGCTCCGGAAAGGTGTGGAATGTTTTGACATGAAAAATGTGCAGGAGCGCTCCTTTCATATCGGCAACAAACGATAATCAATATCGTCTTATGAACTGCGTTGTTCTGTTATACTGTTGAATGGCTGTAAAAGGTCAACATCATTGGGCTACACCAATCTGCTGACATTTTCCAAAATAACTATAATCAATGAAAAGCACACGGTCTCCTCTCCTACCCCCCCTCTCCTCCCACAGGCCTGCAGACGGCTGTGGCCCCCGGGGAGCCGCCGTGTCTGGACTCAGCTTCACATATCGGCCTCTTGGAGCGCTCACGCCGAGCTTCAGGCACTTCTCGGTGTTTCGGAGATGCTTCAGCACCATGGACAGCGCCGGTGCTTTCAGCACGCCGTCCCGGGTTTATCTGCTCAGGAATCGTGCCAATGAAGACCAGAGAAAATTGGATGGCCAGTCCGGATGAGGTGTGGCACGTCCACTGCAGCTGTTGCTCTTATTTAATTTGCGGGGGCAAACGAGCGGGACGCGGATCCCCGCTTTGCCCCGAGTCAGTTTTGACGGTGTAGCTGTCTGGCTGACGGACACATTAGATGCTGCGGCAGTCAGACCTTTGACCTCCCGCTCTCCAGACCTTCAGCCGGTTCCCACAACATTCACTCCCCCAGCCTCTGGTTCCCTCTGGCACGGTGCAGCGTGTTGCTTTCTTGCTTTCTTTTTTTTGACGGCCAAATGCATTGAACTGTCAAAAGTCCTATTAGTGTATGCCGTGCATGTCAGCGCACACCCAGTGCTCAGTTTGAGCAGTCAGGCCCAGGGGCTATGTAATCATCAGAGCATTTAAATATTCCTGAGCTTGGCACCAAACAGAGTCAGGCCTGCTGAGCTTGATAGCTCAAGAGTTAAGTTTTCTTTCACAGCGCAGATAGCTACTGTTTTTGTTCTTTCAAAAGTAAGAATTAGGTGTCACCTGGTGTCAAAGTGTTCAAACGTTTTAAAATGGTACAGTAGCAAACTGATAGTAGATTTTTTTTAACCTATTCTTACTAAAATACATTTGAAGCGATTTTAACGAGATGTTTAAAACTGGGCTGAAGTCACCGAAAGCTTCTTTCACTGTTTGTAGCGTACAGTAACCACAAGCTTGCCCGTCCCCAGCTGTTGTTATGAAGCATTTGTCTTTTTAAAAAAAAACAATTCCTGCTTTTGAAATATCTCCATTTAGGGAAACACGGAAAATAAGTGGGTGTTGGGGCAGGACACTGGGGTGGTACTCTTCACACTTAAAGTGAAACGGTTTGAAAACTACAAGTGGCTGGCAACCATCTGGTCGGCCAGCGGATTTAAATTGGATGCATTGATATGAACCGATCAAATTTTTCCTGACGGATACCGGTGACAGCAAGGTTGGATTTTCATAGAGGTCTGATGCAATGTTTGTGATTTTCACCAAATCGCTTTTCTTGTTTTTTTTTTTTCTTGTTTTTTTTGATGCTAAGGACAGAAATACATAAAAACGTGCGTTGCAGGTTCTTTGATCGAGGTGTTTGCTCACGATTTGACAAAAAAGAAAAGGAATTATGAGACTCGACATTCATGCATCAAAACCACATGAATCTAACCGTGATCAAATTCCTCCTAAATATTCATCAGAATTATGACGGCTGACGTTCATAGAAGAAAAGTTATATCCAATCCCACCTCTGATGCACTTGCTCAGTAGGAAAAAGAAAGATATTGCCAAACAAGCAAAGACAACAACGAAAAAAAAAACCCAGCAGACTCAAATTTGGCCAATTTCTTGAGTTATGTATTCTTCTGTCACAGTTTTGTGTTCACACAATCTAATCGCTGTATTTTTAGTTTGCAAATTAAGCAAAGCAGTTTGCCAACCACACAATAAAAGAACCAACTGCTGCTCCAAACCCGCGATCCTCCGTGAGACAAACGGCCGCGCTGCTCTGCGTTCTGACCAATGACAGCACGAGGCACCGACACTCTGTGAAGAGCGCAGACTCCCAAGGTTGAGCTCCAAGGTGATTTCGGATGAGTGGCGTCGATGCAGAGCAGCGCAGATTATTTCATTACTCCGTTGGTGTGTTTATGGATTAGGGTCGTGCATCAGGTAATTAGTGCACGTGTCCTCAAAAAGGTTGAACGCCTTGTGTTGCCGTTTCTGCTGCGTGTTTCCTCTGGTTGGGGGGCGGTGAGTAGGGCTGACAGCAGGTGACGCTAGAATCTAAAACCACAACAACAACAAAGAAACAAGTTGCCGTGACCTGCAGCTAAAACTAAATTGCCTTCAAATCCTCGATCTGTCTGCCCAAATAATAATTGCTTGCATGTTAAACTTGACCAACTCTAAGGCTTTTGGGATTTGATGGGTTGTGTAACAGGATGAATTTTGTAAACGGGTTCTTAAGGGTATTCATTGCTGTAGCACAGAGGCAAGCACCCAAAACAAACCCAAACATACACACTCACTCACACACTGTCTGATGAGGCTTTAGACATTCGTGTGGGCTCTCACACACGCAGCCATATTTTCCGGCACTTGATGCTCTGACAGTAACAGACTGTCCACTGTGTACACTAATGCAGCCCACACTGCTGCTTGTTTTCTGTTTTCTATATTTAGTCAGGCCCTGCTCAGTGATTGAGATGATTAAACAAATGAGTTCTCCTCCACTGGAGATGAGCCAGGCCTTGTTAAGAAAAGGAGCAAAGGTGCGCAGCGGTCGACTTCATTCCGGTTTATTGAAGAAAAATTGCTGATTCTTTTCTTAATTGATTGAGGTTATTGTACTGAAGACGGAAATAATATTCTACGGTGCAAATGCTTACTCTTATGAGGGGGGGGGAACCTTTTGAAGTCAGTGTGGTGAGACGATGTTGTGCAGAAATTTGTTTTAAGCTGAAAGTCACCTCAATATAGGGCACTGCAAGAGGACGCGGGTTCACGACAGGCAATATGAGGGTATTAAATAAAGTACAGAGTGAGAAGCGAGGATCACACAACTGGAGGGAAATATTCCTAGAAGGAGAACAAAAGCGGGCCAATTCCAATTTATCCCCAGACTAAGACTCAGAAATACCACCCGGCGTGTTTCATGAAATGCCGCTAATGAAGTCATGAATGGTCCTCGTGACCTCACAGTGACACGCCGGTATCTGCAGGTGAACAGGCACACAAGTCGAGCGGCACCGCCTCCCACCACGTCATCTCCCTCAGCTGCCTCTGCCTCCTCTTGGCTCTAATGAGTTATTGACCCCCTGCGGATGTGTAAAATAGAGTAGGTCCTCATGGTTCTTTATTGCATATGGCAGCTGGTGCGGCGGCTTCTGGACGCACGCGCGCGTGACGGCGTGTGCACCAGCGTGCACGCTGCGGCGCCCGGCGGTGTGTGCCTGTGCGCCTGTGCTGCGCGGAAGAGAATGGGCCGGAGTAGCAGGTTGATCCAGAGGAATTCTGCGGATAATGTGTAATTTATCCACCGCTGGCAGCCGAATAACTGCAAGTTTGCAATATGGATATGGATGCCTCCCTACACGTGTAGTGCTCTCTGTGCAATTTGTCTTTACAAGCGTATTTGCTGTATCACAGGACTCTGTTGGCTCTAGACAAAAGGTCAGTAAGTCCAACTATATGCATCCATCAGTATTAAACACTAATTTAGCAGATAAATAGATTTCATTTGATGAATTTAAGTCCTATATATACACTGTCATCTAAAAGGAGGACCACATATTTTAACTACTTCCCTAATTTTCTTACAATCCATTCCTGCTCCAGTGCTTTTGTGTTTAGCCGTGTCTCTTTCCTGGAGTGTGTTCTCTGATCTTTATTTCTTATTTAACCCAGTCCAAGCTCGAGGTTTCATTGCTTAGCTGTGTCTCTATTCTGGACAGAACTATCATCGTTGATC